TACCACGTCAATACGGTGAACATAAATAATAATAATCGAACCCGACGTCTCACCGTTGTCGACGAGTTTGTCTGGTGTCGGTGCAAGTGTTTCTATACTCGTATACCACGCGTATAGTTAAAAACTAAATGTTAAACTTGATTACGATTGACATGTCCATGAAGTTGACCCCCCCTAACTTGACCGATCGATTTTAGATAGATTCTAACTTTCCATTAGAACTTCAAGTTGAAAAATAAACGTGAGTTGATTCCCTATAACTAAATACTATCATGAAAATTGTACAACTCTTCTTACTGTATAACATGTTACCTGTTAAATTATAAATAATTTAATGTATACAATTCTCGACAGTTAATAAAAATGTTTGATTGTTTCAGTTATATGCTCTATGGTGTAGTAGAGTATGATTATGGTCATTATATTTCACATATCAGAAGGTTTAACTCGGTGCGGATTTACACAATGATTTACAAAAAAAAAAATATAAAAACTCAAATAAATTCTATGAATACTGATATTAATATATATTCTAGAAGAATAAAAAAAAATGTTATATATTATAAATAAAATATACACGTATAAAGGTTTCATTTCAATAATAATTTTAGTTTTTTAATTAAAGTTTTTCTAGAACATAAATTAAAACATTAAATACAACATATATTTTATAATACATTAAGTTTGTTAAATAAAAGTTATTGGAGACTGTTTCCAATCATGATTTAGATGAAGATTTAACTAAAGGTTTTCATTTTAAAAATATAAATCGAGTACCTTCATTATAATGTATACATAAAATGAATTTCTGTTTATTGGTCGTAAGCAACAACCTAAATCTGCATTAAAGTTAGTATTATAAAAATTGGCTTATTTAAATTTGTTGTTATTATTGAAACACTATTTGCAATTATTTGATGGTATTTGAAAGTCAATCGGCCAAGTTAGGGTGGCCAACTTCATGGACATGCGTTTGATGGGTTCAATTTAAAGTTCAGCTGTCTATGTGATATTGTGTGCCTGTGTACTTGTGTGTGGACACTCACTTGTTTTATGGAAGACAATCTGTTCGAAAATTAATCAATTATATACATGACGTTTGAAATTTATATATTAAAATGTTTTGCTCTCATTGTTTTTTGCGTATATCTAAACCATATCGTATAATAATCCGAAACGTTTTTGAAAATATTATTTTTTCAATTCGGCAACGAAATATTTTTACTAACGTTTGACGTTTATTTTTTCACAAATGTATGTGCAAATATCATTGTTACGATGTTTCAACCATGGTATGGTATTGTTTTAGTATATTTTTAAATATTATTTTTTTAATACATTTGTATCCCAAACAACGTTTATTTTTGATTCGATATTCTGAAATCGAATAAATTTTTGAAAATGTTGAACCAAATATTTTGTATTTAAATTGGTTATTAAATTATTAAACAATTTTAAGTATTAGTCAATATAATTAGAGTAAAGTGTTAGAGAATGCACGATAAGTATTTTTTCCGCCCGTCTAAATTTTAAATAATTATTTACTGATTCTACATTCGATTATTAAACAATTGCATTTTTTAAAAATGTTGTTTACTTATTTGACTCAGAATCGTTTTTTCATAAGTACATACTCTGACATAGATTACAGTTTATCATGTATAAAAAATCACATTATACAAAGTTTAATGGCAATTAGTTTTTCTCCATTATAGTTAATAGTCTTACACCAATAAAATATAAACACTTCCGTATGAATATAATGCATTCAATTACAGTGTGATTTCATTAGAAACAATTTAATTCCTTAGTTATTTTTATAGACGATGACAGTTTATGTATACCACTTGTATACTGTTATTAATTTTTTTTTCTATTGGATTCTGTACGACGTAGCAAATAATAAATAAATACTTTAACTTTGATATGGGTCTTTTCAATCGCGGTAATATAATTAATCCGAATAGATACATAATAAGTGCAATAACGATCGTACATGTAGCCATTGGTCTACTTAATACTTTCAAAGCTACACAAATAATATTTCACTCTAAAAGTTAATTTCGGTTGGAAATCATTTTGGATATAAATAAGTACAGTTTTCTGGACGTTCGAGAAACGATTTTTTTATTTGTTAAATTCCATTTTATTGTTCACGTAAAATATGGCCTATTATTAGTCCAAGGATTTGTATTTTTTCAAGTGATATCGGCCGATAAATTGGAAAAGTACCAGGGGCAGATCTATTCTTTTCGTTTCATTTGGCACAAACACTATATCTTGAGGATTTTGAGCTAAAGCTGATCCTTTATTCCGTCAAGCTCGGCAAAATCAGTACGCTCTTGCGCGCTGTATCTCAACGTTATTATACTTGTCCTTGGTCGTAATGTTATTAAAGTTATTTATATATGTACTTATTATATACATAAAGGGTTTCTCATCATGTTTTACCGATTCTCATATAGGAAGTCAATATTGAAATTTTTTATTTTTTTATCTCTTCAACTGAATTTTCTATTAAGTGGACGCATATATAACTGATAATACAATTTTCATTATCACCCTATAATCACTTCAAAAAAATAACTTTCCAGTTGTTCTTATTACATTAATTTCAATATAATCATATTGTACGAGATATCATTCTAAAACTTAATTGTAACATACGTAAATATCCGATGAATATTTCTTGAGTAATACTCCTTTTAATTTCTAGGGAATGGAAAATATTTCAGTTGTATATTAATTAACAGTAATAAATATAAAATATAAATATAATTTTTAGTAATAGAAAGCTTCTACATTATACTGCACAATACCATATCGTCTAATTAAACTCATAAAATTATACTGAAAGTGGCTTAATGGTAAAGTCACTGATACGACAAAAGTGTAGATTCGGAATCATGCGAATAGGTTCTAACATGTTCGTTTAATGATCATAATAAAATTACATTAAATGAAGAGTACGATTTATGACAGTTATGTATTCAGAATTTTCAGAATATCAAATCAGATTCACTTTGAAATAATATCAAAAAAAATATTTATAATAAATTGTTATATATCTCATGTGAAAAATAATATGTAGAAAATGTGGTGTAAAAACGTGTAGGGCATGGTTGTGTATACTCGTATTTTAAACAATTCTATAGTGAAAATATGTGTTTATTGGTGAAAAATGGCTTAATCCTATTAATAAACCATTTCTTTTTTTTTAATTAATGTATATTGAAATAAAACATTACTACCGTCGAAGAATATAGGCTCCACATGTTAAACTGTTTTTAATTATATCCAACACAAATCCCTTCGTCACCGAACTCATTTTAAATTTTGAATTTGACTTGCGAATGTTGTTTGATCATATACACTTTATTGTATATTATGATTTATTGTAGTTCTACATACATTTTACGTGCATTGGCTTTGAATTTTCAAAAATGAAAATACTTCATAAAAATTAAGAACGCAAGTGCTTTTCCGATACCAACATTAACATTCTGTGATACAAGTATTATCAAAATAAATCAATAATTTTTAATGATTTAATTTTTAATTCAACCATTTATGATTTTACATATGATAATAAGTAATTGAACTTTATATTGTATAAATATAAAAAGCCATAGTTAAGCTGGTTTGATTTAAGTGCACCACGTAAGCGGTATTAGAACAGAAGAGTTTTATAACAGCTTTATAAAATTTGTTAATGCGTGCAAGTTTGTTTATCACAGAAAATCATGTATATATATTTGTGTATATTATGTATATATTTTTTGCCAAGTTCAATATTTATAATATTTATTAGTGTTTTCGATTTTTTCTAATAAAGCTTAACACTTCAACGGTTGTAATTGTATCAACAGTGATGAAATACAATCGGTTCAAAGTCTTAATACAATAATCAATAACGTATACATATAAAATTATATATATTATTTAATCGAATATAACATATTATATTATTGTGTTTTACTTTACAACGGTCGTCACATAGCAAATCCGTTCGTTCACAAAGGATTAAATGTACACGTGATGTTAAACGATTTTATAGTATAGAAAGAAAAAAAAAACATAGGTAAAAAATTATAATTCTACAACAACCCGAAGTGATAAGAACATAAATTAAAAAAATGATGGGCTACTGCTCATATAGTTTAACACGTTTGCTACTGCAACTGGGTCTCAAAAACGATGAGTTCGATTACTGCAAACTGCTTTCTCCAACGAAACCTACGGGTCCGGTCGGAACCGGAGCAACGCCAACGTTTTCCTGCGACCACAGCATGTCGAACCCGAAGGGCTCGTTGACTTCGTTGTACTGTCGTCGCGATCCCGTCATGGTGTTGTAATGCGGTAACGGTCGCAAGTTAAATGTAAACCCTTCCGGCAACCACAGTCCGGACTTCGCCTCGATCGGCTCGTCTTTCACGAGCACGGCACAGCATATGGTAAGTGCTTCCAAACGCATCCGCATTCCAAATATTCGGATTCGCGAATTCCAATCGTTTCGAATTCAATGTGAGTATGGTCTATAAAGTCTAGTTTTTCAATTAATTTCTAAAACCTTTGACTTCAAATCGTGGAGATAATTCACTAATTATATCGATTTAATGATCAAAATAAATGCATGTACAAATATTGCATATTATCACAACGCATAGAAGAGTGGGTTCTTGTGCAAGAAAACGAATCGCAAGTACACGTTTCAATTATTTTCAACAAAAATATAAAAATTAAAGTTTTTAGCCCTTGGGGAGGAAAACCGTTCCGTAGTTATTATTCAGAGTGAACTAGCCAATGACTTTTACCGTTCTCAATCTAAACGCTCGGCGCTTCAATTGTTAACTTGTTGAACAAACCGTACACATAATATTATTAAAGTTTTCTTTGATTGATACGAGATTATAGTGATCGTACGACGGACGGCACATCGATACCGATTATTCGTTTCGCAGGTTTTTTCGAAACGCAGTATCCGAAAGTAGAAACCTGAAATGAAATTAGTGAGACTTGGTGAAAAGTATGTCGCGAATGCAAATGTGCCATTCGATTGATAAAAATACCTAGGTATCCGTGCACGAAAATATCAAAGGAAAACTTTTTTTGTTTTTTCCTCACTCGACCCCGCCATGGTCTCGGCCGAGTAAAGCGCAATGCTGCGCACTATTAGCACGTCATCGCGCGGTAAATGCGAAATTATCGAACGGCAAAACGAAAACAAAATAACAACAACATTCGACCGCCGAATTTAAACCTTTCAAGTTATGCCGGGAGATAAGTTTTTGTCGCGTGGAAACCAAACCCATACCGCCACCGTCATCTACGCATCAGTTTGGTAAACGACTTTCTGTTTAAGTTTAATAAATACACGAAATTAAATTGATTCGCAGAACCGTTAACCGCGGCGGCGGCCGCGTACCGTGCGACAATAAACGCGTTGTTCAGCGGTTGTTTGTAACTCGTGGTCGGCTCCGGCGGCAAAGGGCATTCGGTTTGGTTATGGTATTTTTTTCATTTTTCCATCTATCTCCTCCGTTTTCGTTCGAATTTAATACCGTGCGCGCGACGTTCGTTGGGCGAACATTTTATTGCGTCCCCGTAGGGAATACGCGCGGTGCGTTTTCGCTTTGGTGTTTGTTTTTTATTATTATTATTATTATTATTATTATTATTACAAGTCCAATGTGTTTTGTTTCGCCAACGTACGCCGCAACGGTACTACTCGCCCTCGGGGCACCGAATCAATTGCGAAAAGGAGAAAATCGCACTTGGAAAAACACACCCGACGCACGTGCGCCACGTGTACGGTTCGTATATGTATATGTATCGAAATATTGCGTTTAAAATTTGTTCGACGTTTCGTTCTCCGATTGTTTGGACTGCGTCTGAAACGCGGTTCGCGCACGTATAAACGGAACGTATTACGCAATTTACTATTATTATTGATGTTGTTGTTTGTGTACGAATACGCGTAACATAACGTTTTATGTAACAATGTGCCTCGATAGGTTCCACTCGGTCGTCGTTTCAGTGTGTGTTTGTACGAGGCTATCCACTCGTATTCGTACCGTTCATTTCGAATGAAATACGAATTGGCGTAAGAGCATACGATTATTATTGATCGTGTACGTACTGCAGTAGGTATGCACTGTTATGTGTACTATGTTCGCCGAGGGAACGCGTTCGCTCTGCCGTATCGTACCCAAAATCTCCAACCACCACGCTGCCGCCGAAATGCGAAAATCGGTTGAGGCGGAAGAACAGACGAGTTTCGATCGCCTCCCGGTCGCGTTCTCCCGGCGAACACAGCACGGGTGTACGTAGAGGTGGAAGTAAGAATTTTCACGACCGGTGAAAATGTTCAAATCACGCCCAATCGTAAACCAATAATCAAAAATACTCTTCTCGAGAATTTTATTTTCTAATAATTATCATACTTATTGAGTTTTATTCACCCCATAGTTCTGCCCCCGGGCGTACGCACTACGCGAGGGTTACGCGACGGAATTTCGTTTTCAATATTTTTCCCGAATGAAACGGTTTTCCGCGGTCTCATATAATGTGTTATCCGCACAAGATCCGCAACCTCCGTTACCTTTTCCCGTCGTAACGCGCTGGACGTTTTATTATAATTATTATAGTTTATTTATCGATGCGTCTCCGCGGATCTCTGGTCCACAATCCCACGGGAGTTGTAACCGTATTGCAATGCCCGTTTCCAGACCGTTTTCGCTATATCACGTATAAAAAAAAAAAAAAACAATAATTCAAAACCCACCGTACTGCCGAACATATTGCGCGCCGGCATGCATTACATATAAGCGGATCCGCAGTTAAACACATCATATTCCTTGGTTGTATTACTCTCCAGGCATAAACATACGATAAATGTGTCCGTCTTCGAATACCGTAAAGATTATTTATCGTCCGAACCGTTTCCGTGACTCGAATAATAATGGCGATAGTTAATTTTCCAAAAGTTAACACACGGCTTGTGAATATTTTCGTCATATTTTCAGCGGCCAAGCACTGTCAGAGCATAACAATCATATCGCATACGCGTACAGTACACACGTGCGACCCACCGAGTTGTCTTGCGCTTTTATCATTTTCTGCTAGACGACTTGGAATCGCATAGAAGTTTCCGGATTGCGATGTTCTGTATTAAACATATACGAATACGTATGTATACGGCCACGGGTAAAGTTTTGTAACATTATCACTTTATTCTTATTACGGACAAACATGAATATATTAATAAAATTACGAATGCAAGAATAAATCCTCGTCGGAGCCGAGTTCACGGTATTTGTATCTACGTATTACGCTTACATACTTATCGTCCAGAAATCGACGAAGAAACTAACGATTCGAAAATGTAATCAAATTAATTTTATTTAACGTAGAAATATTATGACCATCATCTTTAAAACGTATTCTAATAAAAACAATAGTTCGATGCGGAATCATGTTGCGACCAGTGGCGTAAACTGAGGGTGGCACGGGATCGCACATGCGAAACTTGAACAAATTACAGTGTCATAAGAGTATATTTTTGCAACTCTAAAATATTATGTGTATAGTTTTCAAAAATATAAAAATTGAGATGAATAACCTGTTTAAATTCGTGTTGATGTACTACAGCGCATATTTATATTTTATAATAAAATAGAAATTAGTAAATGGTTTATAAGTACTTTTAAATGAAATATAAATAAACAGTTTATATATATAGTAATGAATAAATAAGTTAATTAATGCTTAGTCTAGAGTATTATTATATGTGTAAGGTAGGACCACTTTCGAATTAAAATGTCATTATTAGGTAAAATTAATAAAATTGCGACTGTGTATGAAAAAATAAAGAAATTATACATTGAGAAAAATTGGTTGTTTTACATAGAGATAACTTATTTTAATAGGACAGATCATTAATAAAATTATTTCTTTTAATACATAGATATTTTAAGAAATATGAAAAATTTCGTCATTATTTATTATAATCTAAAATTTATTAATATAAGAATTTTTTTTTTTAATCCGTTTATAAATTTAAAATAATATTGAAATTATTTTTCTTGATTTCATTGTTAACGCGTAACTCTTCTAAAATTGAATTAATGTAAATGTTATTTAGGTATTTAATATTTCTAAGTCTGTATCAACATTAATATTATAGTAACTTTCTAAAATATGTATAGCAAAATGTGTGTGTTAGGACAGTCTTGTTTAATTTTATTTCAAAAATGTGTTTTTTATATCCTATTTTAAAATTTTTATCCGTCTTACCTGTATGAAATGTATTACAAAGCATGAACTTAAATGTAATCGTAATATATTTAATTCAAATTTAGATTATAACAAAACAGAGTTTAGAGATCACGGGGGTGTGGGATGGTGGAGTTTTCTACGAAATGCTTTATTCTAAAATTATTCGCGACGTTCAAAATGTTCGATGCCGTCTTTGTATCGATGGTCAACTTTTTAAATCGAACGAAAACCATTATTTTGTCACGATTTTTTTCGTGATCGCTGTCACACGGAGTTCTGATCATCCGGTACGTCCAGTTGCTATTGATGCGCATTACGCGTGACAGTTACCAAAAATAAGATACGGTGTGTGCGTTTGAATATTTTAACGTCTGATATGTTTTACTTCGGCCGCGTCCATCCCGTATCCTAGATCCATCGTGTCGCAGTGAAAACGTAACCCAACCGACGTCCGATGACGGGTTGGAACCAGGGGCGCATCCAGGATTTTTTTTTAGGGGGGGGCTAAATTCAAATAATTTTAATATTAATAGGTAGTATTTATTTTGAAATATGTACAGAAATCTTAAAGCTGCACACAATGCTGTTCTTCAGAGTTTTCCGCAGTGTAAAATAGTTTGCTGTAAATTCCATTTAGAACAAAGTTGGTTCAGACGTTTGCAGAAAAATAAAAGTTTATTTAAAGAATACTCAAATGATTCTTAAGTAGGAAGGTGGCTTAAATAAAATAATTGATATACTATAGTTGATAATTTTTTTTATAATAATTTAAAGTCAAATGTCAATTGTCAATAAACCTAATAAAATTATCAAAATTTTTGGGGCTAGCCATTATGGGGGGGGGCTAAAGCCCGTTAGCCACCCCCTTTGGTGCGCCCTTGGTTGGAACTTCCGCGTACGCGTAATGGAAATCGCTATATGATATAATTTCGGTAGATGCCGGGGATGTTTTTCAGTGCGATTTCATTTAACAACACGCGTGTACACACGTGACGGTATTTATTTATTTATCGAGTAACTTAACGGGCACAACGCCCTTTTGCAAATGAATCGGCTAATCGTTGCAGTACAACGGTGTCATTGTTCGCGCACCGTTTTCGTACATCGAATGTTGACGGCGAATCTCTCCGGTGATATTCGTGTTTATCGCACAAGTATACGGGTTTCGTCCGCATTTGTTAAACGATTAAAACGCGGTATCCGCAACACATGTACGAGTCTTAACGTCGCATCACAGTTAGATTGCATCGGACCCGTAAACAATTCGTAACCGCGCCCGTGCGATTTTAACGACATCGTAAATATACGTACGTTTGTAACCCCACGACCGCCACCGCTGAACTCAACGATTACGGAATATTAAAATTTGTCATTTCACTGCTTGCCCGCGCTTGTGCCGTGCACTCGTTTTTTAGACGCTCCTAACGCCGGACGATGCCTTTCAACGTATGGTGTACAGATGATTTATTTCGTTTCGCACAGCGGTGTTCCGTTTTCTCCCGGGAAATCACCTCGTGCTCCGGGGTCAATTGATATAGCTGAGATAGTTTTCTGCCGAAATTTTTGCGTACCGGTTGGAAATCGTCAAAATGTTGTTTCTTCGTATGTTCATCGTTAGCTGTCGTGGAAAAGCGGTAGGAACAAAGTAACTTTTGCGAAATTTCAGCCGAAAGTTCGTTTTCGACGAAATCGTTTGCGGATAAGTCGAACAACTTCGCTCGGAACGGTATCTCGTTTGATTTTCAATTT